GTAATGTCCAATTATTGCGCGAATAAATAAACATTTTATAAAAAATTAAAATTTAAAAACTTATGCAAATTTAAAATTAATATAAAATAAAAAGAAATAAAAAAATTTTAGTTAAAAAAACTGGGCGCGCTGCTAAATAATATTCTAATGATATTAAAATTAAATTGTTACTTTTAAACTCATTGCAGCGCGCCCAGTTTTTTTAACTAAAATTTTTTTATTTCTTTTTATTTTATATTAATTTTAAATTTGCATAAGTTTTTAAATTTTAATTTTTTATAAAAATGTTTATTTATTCGCGCAATAATTGGACATTACTTTTTGTAGAGATATTAATTTTAGAACATAAATTTTTGTCAATTGATAGATTTTTTTACTTAAAAATACTTTTTTGTTTAACACTTTTTCACATGGCGCATGGACTTGGCATCTTGTTTATCTTTTTTTTAAAAGATAAGTTTTTTATGGTACAATTCTACATTTGCAAATTTAAATTTTTATTGATTCATTATACGACTCTATATATGTCTGCAACTTTAATTTTCCACTGGTACAAGTTTCTACTTTCACTTGGCGCAATTTTTTTTTTATTTCATTACTTTTGTTACGATTGTACATGGGTTTATAATCGATAATTTTTCATACAATTCTATTGTACATGGGTTTGCAATGGATAATTTTTGTTAATGGCGTGCCCTTAACTGGTCGCCTTTTTTTACCTTTTTTTAAAGGTGAGTTTTTAGAGATTATATCATTCATTTTTGTATATGATAAGCATCTTTAAATAAATAAGCAAATTCAATTTTTCTGGCATTTTCTTATTTTAGGTACATATATATCCAATAATTAATATACAAAATTAAATATTATTCATCACACAATTTGTATCAAAATAATATATTTTTAAAAATTTATTTTAAATTTATTTAATCATTTTTATCATTGTGATTGTAGTGGCAAGGATTTTATTGCTCAGTGTCATTGCAAGCATCTGGCCTGTATATACCATAATATATTGTGTAATACATTGGCTAAGTATGACAATATGGATTTTGATAGATTCCCATGGAATATTGGAATTTTGTCGGACTTGCAGTCATCCACCACATATGCAGCCTACAATTAAAGAACGCATTTATTCCATATTATTTGCTTCCGTTATTGGCATAGTGCACATTTTTATATATCTCAATGCTGTAGATAGCAAAACATTTTGAAAACATCTATCTTTCTATGTTATCTGCTTTTTTGAAAATATTGCAGCAAATTTATTATGGCAATATGCTTGTCCTCCTGCAGTTAAAGAGGCTTAGTACTTTAATATAATCTTTATTATTTGTATCATTTCCTTTTTCTTGGGAATTACAGCAATGCTTTTGTACTATATTGTCTTGCATCCCTCAAAAAGACAACATACTTCAAACGCACCAGTTCAAGCAATGTAACTTTGATATTTATTTACTTTAAAAAATGAGAGATAAACTATACAATATGCAATTAACCTTATCTTATGACTTTTATAAATCTTATGATAAAATCTAACTCTCTCTTAATCTTTATTATGAAAAGAATCTCGGTATTATATGAAATAATTTCATTGTAATTAATAGTTTAACTTTCAAAAATTTTGCAAAATAAAATAACTCATACATTGTATTTCTACCATATATATAAAAAAAAGATAGGTAAATATAAATAAATAAATATATATTTATGATATACAATAAATAAATATATATTTATATATATATATATATATATATATATATATAAAATGTTGGATTTTTATTATATATATATTTTAAAAAAATCTTTTTTATATGCTATTGAATTTTAATACATACAATTTTGATTATATGTATTTTAATTGATTATATTTATAAGTATTTTTATATTATCTTAAAAAGACTGCATAGAATTATTTGTGCGACACTCTTATATGTATGTATAATTAATAGGGACCAACTACACATTTTTTTTCCACTGAATAAAAACAATCTCAATATTAAAATTAAATTATAAAAAAGATACTGTGATATTTTATTGATGAGAAATGTACATTTATAATTGTATTAAATACAAAAATAAACATGCCATGAATTACTATATATACATATTTTCATAATTATCAAACTTAAAAATATAATATTGTTACCAAAGAAGAAAGCACTATTTAAAACTCTAAAAAAAGTTCATAATTTGTTAAATTAGTAATTAAATACTGCATTTTGTATAATTTTTAAGCTTTATTCTTTTATTTTTCTTTATTTAATTGAATAGATATTAACATCCAATGTAGCATACAGATTAAATTAACAACCAAAAAAATAAATCTTAACTTTGAAATATATTTTTGTTTCTTTTAAATATCAATCAACTGGATTTTGTACTACTATTAATATGAATTCTTTATCTGGTGCCATCATAATTTTATGTTTTTTGCTACGTATGCGCAAGAAAGTTAAATCATTTGTTGGATTCAAGTCACGTACGACAGAACGAGCTTTATCTGACAATTGACTTATCAAACCTGCGTATTGAACTGTTGTCGTATTATCTAATGTTGACTTTATAGGAATACCTAAAACAAATATAATTTTATAAATTTTTGTTTACAACTACAAGTAAATCATGTCAATGATCTCATGTAATACCTTCTGCATTCACCACTATTGTTCCAACTACCCTTTTATGAGACTGAATTTGTTTCATAGTTTCTTCAACCTCTTATAAATTATTTCATCGAAATTTATTAATAAAATTTTTATTTTAAATATTCCAATAACGGAAGCAAATCATATGGAATAAATGCGTTCTTTAATTGTAGGCTGCATATGTGGTGGATGACTGTAAGTCCGACAAAATTCCAATATTCCATGGGAATCTATCAAAATCTATATTGTCATACTTAGCCAATGTATTACACAATATATTATGGTATATACAGGCCAGATGCTTGCAATGACACTGAGCAATAAGATCCTTGCCACTACAATCACAATGATAAAAATGATTAAATAAATTTAAAATAAATTTAAAAAAATATATTATTTTGATACAAAGTGTGTGATGAATAATATTTAATTTTGTATATTAATTATTGGATATATATGTACCTGCAATAAGAAAATGCCAGAAAAATTGTAAAATAGTTCCTATAGCACTGATATTAGATTTATCTTGTTAAGCTAATCGAATGCTGCGATGATAACTAGCCATTGCCCAACCCATGCTCACAAGTGAGCTGATAATGCTACCTGCTTGATGTACAACTGAAAAAAATATAGAAGCTAATTAAGAAAATTATTAAAAATATATGCATACTCATACATAGGCATTTATATAATTGAAATATTATTGAAATAATAGCAAAATATCTGATTTTGTATCACAGACTGTAAACTTGCACATAAATTATTATGACAATAAATTTGCAAATAATAACATTAAAATTGAATGTAAAAATTGAAATTGAAAATTGAAAATATCTAACCCCGCACGCTGTCAATATAGCGGAGGGCAACTATCGCCGTCTGTTGTAAAACGTGCGAGATGGACATTTCCAATACATGCATCTATTCATGTGTTGTGTACGTGTGATATATGTGTGCGCATGTGTTGTATACGTGTGAATACGTGTAGCACGATACTACTATGTTTGCGTGGTCGATGATGATAATAATAATGATGATGACGGGGACGTTTCTTAAAAGAAATTTTTCATATTTCGACTTTGCAATTATATATCTCTGCTTACAAATCACGTAGAGCAGAAATAAAGACACTTTTATTATATAATTCAAACTCAATCTATCGATTAAGTCTAGTATAAACTCGATTGCTTCAGCCGTTATTGAGAATTCGAAATATTATAAAGACTCAAATGTCCGACTCGCGTTAAGATACACGGTGTCTCGGCTACGCCCTTAACTGGTCGCGAGACACTACCGTGTCTCTTGATACATAATCATCGTTATTCATTATATCTGTAACTCGCAAATAAAAAGTGCATATAGAGTAAAGCATATTTTCGAAATAAACGCTTTGAAAAATATACTCGACACATTTCATGCAATAACTTCGGATGCATTTAGTTTTTTATACTGTAGGTTATCTGAATGCATAATGCTGCACTTTATGTGCAGCTTATTTATGTTTAAAACTCAGTTAGTATCTCATTGCTGATAAAGTTTGTGCTTACGTTTGTATGTTATTTACTGTCTATCTTTAATAATTTATCATTGATTTATAAACAGATACATTATCAGTTTGCCATTAAGATTTTAAAAACAGAACATAAATGTGTCAAATGTGCGTATATTATGAATTTGATTTAACTGATCTTAATTTAATATTAACAAATAATATTATATTTATATATATATATATATATATATATATAATATGTATTTATTATATATATAATAATAAACTATTATGTGCAGCTATAAATATATTCTCTTAAAGAATTAATTCCGTTAAAATTATTTCTTTTAATAACATTTATTTATTTATTAAAGAAAAAAAAAATATCTTTGTATAAATGCTATTTATAATATTATTAATTGTTTACACTATTGTTAATCTTAATAAACTTAATAGCTTTTTAACAAAAATAATTTTAATAGATTTTTTGAGCACAATAAAAAATTGCTAATACTTATTACTATAGTTTTTAAAATCTTATATATAAAAAATATAAAACATACTTAATATAATATTAATAATGTTAAAATATAAAGTATTTGTGAAAGCAAGATATATTAAGAAAAAAATATTAATATTACAGAATATAAAATACGTGAAGCAGATATATGTAGATACATCTTTGCAACTTGCATATATCTGAAAAATATGAATCAAGAAAACAGATTTTCATTCAAAAGTTTTTTTTCATAAACATATATAAGCTTATATAAAGTGAAAAGCTTTTAAAAACGCAATAAAATATTTTTTAGTAATAAATTAAAAAACATAAATTAAAATTATTTTCAGAGTGGCAACAACAGCAATAATGGTGCTGGTTATATAAACATGGTTTCACTCGTGGGTGCACATGGAACACGAAGACCACCCTCCCAACAATTGTCCTTCCACTCGTCTAAGAATCATTCTCGGCAATCTGCATCTGTTCCACCATCGACACCGCGAAATGCCTGTCAGCAGATGACCGAAATAGAAGCTCCGTGTATACGTAAGTTCACTGCGATGCAAGATTTAAATTCGATGAGGGTGTCTTTGTAAAATATATTTCACAAAATAGGAATTTTATGCATTTTTACGACGGAAAGATGTGGAAGTTAATGTTTTTTTGGACAATTTTTTTCTTGATAAACATAATACTTTCTCGTTGTGGAGCACCGCTTTTTGCATGGTATTTACAGCGACATTACTTGGTTTGAAATTATTAAAATCATAAAAATATAAAAACTTAAAATGTTACAGTAATGAGAAAGATGAGAGAAGATGTTTTTTTTTACAAAATCGCCTTATATTAAATTTTGTATTTAGCAAATGTAAAAAAATATACTTTTCTATTGTGTAAAAATAAACTTCTTATTCTTACGTTGCCGAGTAGGCATAAAGACTGTAAATAGAATTCGTTTTCTACTTCGCAGACGTTATGTCATCTTCTCGGAATCTCGGATCGACCAGATTCAATCAAGAAAGCATTACTAAAATGCTTGTACTTATTAGCACAGTCTTTATATTACTTAATTTACCAAGGTGAGCATTTTTCATGTAAATTCTTTATATTCCTTTCCTTCCTTTCTTTTTCTTTTACTTTTTCTTGTTTCTTTTCTTCAGATTTTCTAAACCTTTCGATAGTTTCTTACAAATATTTTCATTTATTTATATGTACTCTTTTATTTATATAACAAAACTTTATCTTGTTACAATATCTTTTACAATAAATAGTAAAAATTTATAACGATTTTTTCTTAATGAATGTAAATTGTTAAGTAAATGTCAATTCTATTTTACGTGCGGTGGAAACGAAAGGATTAATATTCCTTGGCAAAATCTAATATGCGCGGAAATTGTGTCATGAGTCGAATTGTCGTTCTGTTTCAGCTACGTGATTCGTCTATGCGTATTCTTCTTCACTCTGGCGAGGAAGAACACACCAGAGACACTCTGGTGTCTGCAGCAATTCTTCATGCTACTCTACTATACGAATTTCAGCATCAATTTTTTGCTGTACGCCATGTGCGGCATTACGTTTCGTCGTTGCCTGGAGCAAATACTGCGTAGGATCATGAAGAGCATGACATTGTATCATTGCAATCCACAGAGGTACATATAGCTAGCGTTCCATTTCTGTCGAAAATCCGTCAGAGATCGAACTGAATTGTTGATTGTATGGTGACTGTTAGGGAACCGATAAGCCCGTGAAATGTCCGCTCCCTGGATCATCGTTAATCTGGTGTCTGTTCCCAACTGTGAGATTTCGGTCCAAATTGCGGCGACTTTTCCGGTAAGAGGGGTTCAAATCCAAGATAATCCTGTTTGAGAAATCGCCTTGAAAGAACACATCGTTCCGCGAAATGCGTGACATGAAATTATATTCATGTCGATGCTGAGACAACAATTCAACGAAAGATTCGCCAAGAACTGAGAAATCGTTGGTATGAAAAATTCGAACTATATAACAAGATGATTGACTGATGCAGAAGAATCACAGGAATTTACAATAAAAATCCTGCATGTAATTATGATAAAATAGACTCACAGTTGCTTATGTGTAAGAATAAGATTTTTACAAATTCGATCATTATATTTATAGAAATTTATTTCTATTTTATTTATATGTGTAAAAGTTCAGAGAAAGACAACGAGATCCTTTCAAAATTTATATAATATTTCAAGTTTTCAATCTTGATATAAATCTTTTTTTTTTTAAATTAAATATAACATATAAAGAGCAGATCAGTTTGATTCTCATTTTTTCCAGAATTTTACTATAACTATATTATTTGATCATTTCTATTTAATTACTAGTAATAATCAATCATTTTCTTAAACCGTATGATTTTTCCTTAAGACAGAAAAGGAGAAAAGAGAGAAAAAGGCATAAAATCTTTATGTACTAGAATAAATTTTATCTGTAGATACAAGTTATGAATATAGAGGAATATCATTTTTTGATAATCATGAATACTGATAATTATTTCCAAATTACAAAATCTATGTTTGTTTGCGAACATATTACAACATTGCACATTATACGTTATCTGACATAAAATCAATAATTAGATACCCAATGCAGTTCAAAAATTTTAAGACTGTTTTTTATGTGGCAATAATAATGTTATTGGCACTAATAATGTTATTTGAGAATAATAATCCAAATTATGTACTTATTTTCTCCAGAAAATTATGTGCAAAATTTGAAAAGTCTATGATTAGCTAATCTCGAGCAGTATATTTTTATAAAGCTTGTATTTTAAATACGTCATGAATATAAAAGAAGAGCTACGTATCACAATAAAATTTTATTTTAAAACTAGTTTATTTCTCACACAAAAGCTCAAAATGGTGTAGAAAGTTTATGTGAATAACACATTAAATTGAGCGAACAATTTTTCGTTGACATGCCACGTTTTGTGAGGAAAGAAACTCCGTAGAAGTAAATGCGCATAGTTTATATTTTTTAAAATTATTTAAAATGCGGAATACTATGAATTTGCAGCTCTTTATATAATACTTTTTTTATTACTTATACGAAATATAATACATAAACTTTCTTTTATGCGTGATAATGTTATCATCTATTAAGTTGATAGGCAAATTATTGCATTCATCATCTTCTACAAAATCTCTTCTCTTGTGAAGCCTTGTTTTTTAACAAAGAAAAATGTTTGTTTAATATAATTCCCGTAAGATTTCTGCATTTCGAGCATTTGTGAAAATAAGTTAATTTTAAACCAAAATTGTATTGCAATACATTGCTCTTCTTTTGTATTAATGACATACTTAAAAAACAAGCTGTATAAAACATTATACTGCTCAAGATTAGCTAATTGTAAATTCTTTTTGATTTTACACCCAATTAACTAAGAATAATAGATGCATAGTTTTGCGGTTATTCTTAAATGGCGTTATAATATTGTCGTAAAAAATCTTAAAACTTGTGGACTGTACTATATATATTATGGATGATGTGTAATTGCTGTATTATTATTATTATTTTTTTAAATTATTGTGAGATACTTTTTGCGTATTAGCACGTTAGTTAAAAATAATCTGTTTGTTATTGTTTTTTCTTAACAATAAGAGAAAATAAATTAAGTCTTTTTTGAAAGCAAAATCAAAATAAATTTATTGCGATGCAATTATTTAATAACGTATAAATATTGCATTTACTTTATATTTTTATATATCAATGATGAATTATTCAAGCTTTAATAGAAATATTGATTTTTAAAGAAACACAAAGCTAGGAAAATAATAAAATAATCTACTGCTACATTTAAAAAATGCCAAAATTTTTAAATACTAATACATTTCTTTATTAAGGTAAGTTAATTTTCGAAATTTATTTAAAGTTAATAAATATCAAATTATAAAAAAAATAATATTTTTATTTCTATGTTGATGAACGCACAATTTTACATAAATTATTAATGTTTCAAAAATTATGTAAATGAAACAACCCAAAAAACTATCGTACAGACCATACTGAAATAAAAAATGATACATCAAAAACGGGAATATACGAAAAATTATCATTATATTTATTTCTTTTTTCTTAGTGGAAACATCGATAATTATTTTTAAAATTTACAAATTATATATTATATTACAATATGAAGGCGTATCCACCTGCGAATAAAACTCGAGAGTAACTCTTAAGAGTGATTCTCGCAAATAGACACATATCCTTGAGTAATTTATTTTAAATACTCTTGAGTTTTACTCTTACATGGATACATACTTTTATATTCATGTAAGCTTTATATTATAATCCTATTAAAGTAAAATTTAAATAAAATTAATTTAGTTAAAAATCACAATTTTACATTTTAATAATTAATTTCTACTGAAAGTTAATTTGTGTAAAACCATTTATTTTTAATCAAAGAAAAACCAGAAAAAATGACATATAATGAAAAAAGATACAGAGCGCGCACGCTTATAATTTTATTTATAAAAATATATAATCTTGCATTATTATTTTGTTATAAATTTTACATAAAAAACTTCAATATTTATAATATTTAAACTTTATCATTGTAGTTGTAGATATCTGGATTGATTTGTTAATCAATAATTGTTTAAGGATAAAGCTACTCGTTGCAGTAAATGATAAGATTACCCGTACGACGTGATAAGATTAATGTGCGACGTACGATATAAACTGTAATAAAAAGAGAAATACTAATATTTTCTACGATATAAGATTAGAAATGTCGCATGAATCAGGTATTTCAAAAAATGTTTCGTAAAATAAATCTTATTTTGCAATACAAAAAATAGCGATAAGTGGAAAAATAATAATAAAATTAGCCGTATAATTTTTGGTTTCAATATTTTGATTTTTTTAATAAAAAATGTAATAAAAATTTTAGTTTTTTACTTTTACATATGTATAATATATTACGTTTTTAAAATAAATAACATATTAAAAAAAGTATCAAAGTAACAACAAATATTGACATAATATACAAAGCTAAGGAAATTTATATATTAGCATAATAACTTGTTCTTTAAAAAATATTTATTGACGCTTTAATTTAAATTATTTATTTTATATTATATTTAAATTATTAAGCATTTTTTATAAAACTATAATTATAATTTTAATTGTTTTTATTTCATTAAACAAATTTAAAGTCAACATTGCACTCATGTTTAATTGAATGTATTTTTATAGTTTCGTATTTTATATTTTATAAAACAAGAAGAAAAAAAATCACTTTCGAGTACGAATTGAAACGAGAACGTTTAAAGTTTGCCGTAAAAATATTGTTAATAAAAATATTTTTATTTAATATATTAATATTAATTTTCGCGTGCACGCGCTGTCAATTACAATATTTTATTTTATAAGATATGAAGTAAACATTCTAGTAAAACCAATTTTTTTCTAAATAAAATTGTTAATTAATCTATAAAAGTATTACATATTTTCACATGTTTTTATGAAATGAAATAATGTTTTATACATATAAGGATATATTAGTTAATTATAGACATTAAGTTTAATTATTTTATAACATTAAAATATAAAATTTTAATTTCTTTATTCTAATATTTTTAACATTTAATTGAAATACTGAATATATTTGAATTTTTATCAGTTTTATGCGAAAATAAGACAGTAAAATGTGTTGTATGTGTTTTACTTTTTTATTATACTGTACGCTTATCGATGTACCAAACTTTTATGTGCGAAGTTTGGCGCAATACTAAAAACTCGGATTTACTACAAGAATCGAGAAAAATGAAAGGAATTTACAGAGAGATATCTTTCATAATGTATTACGACAGCTCATCGCAAAGTTACGCTTACAAGAATTTTCAAATATTATAATATCTTTCTTAATGATTTTTCCAAAATTTTTTTTATAATAACTTTCTTTCATCACTTGTATAATTATTCTTTTTGTGTAAATTATAGATTATATTATATGTAGTTTATATTATAAATTATTTTTTAATATTGTACAACATTATTAGATTATATCTATCAATCCAAAGTTTAGTATGTACGAAAGTAAAAAAAAAGAAGATTAAATTCTAATTCTTGGTTTAATCACATCCAAAAAAATATAAGATTGAATAGTGAACTAATATTTAGTTTTCATTAAATCATACGTCAATAAGATCTATTTTAAGTGCGGTGTAGAATAAAAATTTCAAAGTCGATGTTTACTACAAAAGCTTATTTAAACAAATTATTAAATATACATATCCGAAAGACGATAAAATTTACTAACGTTACGAAAGAATCGTAAAATATTACATTTTTGTCGCACTTTTTTTGCATATATTTAGGCAATAGATTTATAAACATGAATTTTCATAAACTCTATCTTTGAAATAACTTCAGAATAATTTATTTTAGATTAATATTTGATTATGTTTTAATTTTTAGATATATAGCAATATAAATTCTATTTATTTTATTTTTTATATGAAATTCTACAGATATTAAAGAAATGGTTAGGAAAGAGTTTTGTGCATTCCTCCTAATCTTCTAATGTAAAAATTTGCATTAATGTGAAATTTCTTATATTAATTTATTATATATAATAGTAGCCAAATATAAAGCTAAAAATATAAAAAAGGCATACGTTTATTTATATATGTATATATATATATATATATATATTAAAAACTTTGATATTTTTTTATGGTAAAAGAAAAAATTGAATACATATGTACGCAAGTTGCACTTTTTATATGGCATTCACAAAAGAAAGTTGAGTTGCTACATTTTTTCTCGCATGCTACATCTTTTTCACGTTTTGTTTTTTGCGCAATTAAAGCAGAGATCGATTGAGCGAGAGCTCGTCTAGGGAAATCACTGGAAAAAAAATTCGGCGTTTTTTACATGGAAAAGATATCTCTTTGGAACTATGCAATTTCACATAAATCTAAGATAAACCCGTTTTTGCGAATTTTCTTTTATGGCTTTGAATCTCACGCAATATGAATAATAATGAACAGAATCTCTGGCTTCATGTGTAATATGAGATTCTTATATAATATAAAATCACTTAGCTCACATGTATAAAACATGTATTCATTAAATAATCGTGTAATATCAATGTACGCGAATATTAATAATAATAATTTGTTTAAATATTTTTGCAAATGTTTTATTAAATTTATGTAATTCTTAATTATGTAACAAATACGTTTATATAAAATAATTT